TTTTGATCCGCTGGAATGAGTGTCACGGTCGTCGACCATGGAAAACCCTGAATGTAATTGTTGCCCCAGCAATAAAATCGCTTTAAAAGTCAAAAGTCTCTCGCTCACTCGCTCGCTCACTCTCTCGCTCTCTCGCTCACTCTCTCGCCCACTCTCTCCCTCTTTCACCCTCTCCCCCCTCTCTCCCCGCTCTCTCTCTGTATGCGTGGCACGTGCAGTGCCATGTGCAGTGTTTGTGATGTCCACACGTGACGCTGCACTCGATGTGTCACTTCGCATCGAACTCGGCTCCGGTGCTCTCCCTGCTGGCAGCAATAACATTATTTTGAAACTCTCTCTCCATCTCCCTCTCTGCATCTCACTCACTCTTTCTCTCTCTCCCGCTCTCTCCCCCCCGTGCAGGCAGCACCAATGTAGGAGACACTCTGCCCTCGGGGCAGCTCTCCAATGTGCCGTGGAGACGCACCGGCGTGCGCTACACCAACAACGAGGCGTACTTCGACGTGATAGAGGAGGTGGATGCCATCATTGATCGCTCTGGTGAGTGAGAGGCAGAGACAGATAGTGGGAGAGAGAGACACAGAGAGAGACAGAGAGACACAGAGAGAGTGAGACACAGAGAGAGAGACACAGAGAGAGACACGGAGAGAGACGCAGAGAGAGATGCAGAGAGAGACACAGAGAGAGACAGAGACACAGAGAGACACAGAGAGAGACAGGGAGAGACACAGAGAGAGACACAGAGAGAGACAGGGAGAGACACAGAGAGAGAGAGACACAGAGACAGAGAGACACAGAGAGACACAGAGAAAGACACAGAGAGAGACGCAGAGAGAGACACAGAGAGAGACAGAGACACAGAGAGACACAGAGAGAGACAGGGAGAGACACAGAGAGAGACACAGAGAGAGACAGGGAGAGAGACACAGAGAGAGACACAGAGACACAGAGAGAGACACAGAGAGAGACACAGAGAGAGACACAGAGAGAGACACAGTGTGTGAGAGACTTTTGACTTTCAAACCACTTTTTTTGCTGCCAGCAGCAACAGCACTGGAGCCGGTTTCGCTACGAAACACACAAAGTCACCAAACACGAAAGCTTTAAATCAAAATTGCACCATCTTTGCTTGCCCACAACTTGTGTCCAACAATAAAATTCACTTGGGAAAAAAAACAGAGAGACAGGGCTGAGAGGGTGAAGAGAGATGAGAGGGAGGGCAGAGGAGGGAGAGAGTTTGGGGAGAGAGAGGAGAGTGTGGGGTGAATTTGGAGAGACTTTTTTTTTGTTGACCAGTGCAATAGACACACAGAGACACAGAGGGGGGGGGGGACACAGGGGACAATGGAGAGGGTGGACAGAGAAAGAGAGACAGAGAGACACACTTTGATGTGTGTGTCTGTGTGTCCGTGTCTGTGTGTCTCCGATAGTGCAGCGGTTAGCGCTACGCTGCGCTATGAACCCGGCGACACGAGTTCGATTCCCACTCACGGCCAACACCAGTGACGATTATCTGAACCGGTCCCGGGCCTCCCCTAGGTCGACTCGGCCTCAAATGAGTACCTGGTGTAGCGGTGTGTGTAGTAAACATCGCCACTAGGGAGACAAAGGCGGTCGGGCGTGGTGCTGGCCACCCACCCCCTCGTGTACCGTTCCGGCCTTCATAGGTGCTCGCTAACAGCACTTGCCCCAACAGTCTGTTAAAGGCTATACGGGGGATCTTTGCTTTGTTCTTTGTGTGTCTCCGCGTGTGTCTCAGGCTCCACGGTGACGGCTGAGATTCAGGGCGTGATTGACGCTTGTGTGAAGCTCACGGGGATGCCTGACCTCACACTCTCCTTCATGGTGACACACGCACATACACACATGTACATACGCATACATACACACACGTACACACGCATACACATACACACACGTACATACACATACACACACACACGTACACACGCATACACACACACACGTACACACGCATACACACACACACGTACACACGCATACACACACACACACACGTACATACGCATACATACACACACGTACATACGCATACATATGTAATGCGAGCAAGGAAAGAGGGGGCGGAGTCTGGGTCACGTGAGGAGAAGGAGGAGTCAGGGTCACGTGAGAGAGAGGATTTAGGGGAGGAACCGGAAGGGATCTGGGAGCTGAGAAGGAGTGGAAACAGGAGGAGGCCACGCTGGGCAGTGGCGAGAGGGTGGCGCCATTTGCCACGTGGTGGGAGGCCACGGCACCGTCGGCCAGCGGTGTACGTGGGGCACAGCAGAGCTAGTGGGCTAGAGCTAGTGGAGTAGAGCTAGCGGAGGAGAGCTAGTGGAGTGTGGGAAGCTAGCCGGGCGTGAAGAGCTAGCAGAGTGTGCGGGGCACACGGAGCAGCGGTGTGGCTGCAGACGGAGCAGCGGTGTGGCTGCAGGGTGCACGGTGGAGGAGGTGCAGGTCTGAGCGAGGACGCCGCAGGGGCGAGAGAGACAAGAACCCGAATAAAGGACAACGGAGACCTACACTGTCTGAAGAGTCCTTTATTACATTGGTGTCGGAAGTGAAACGGCATGTCGAAACAGTTCAGAAGAAAGAACATCCCTGCACCATCTTCTGCACCATCTTCTGAAGACGATCTTCCTCCGGCGGTGGCGCTCCTGACGATGGAAGGAGGAGGCGACGCAGGGACGAGCGACGCGCCGGGGGTGCAGGATGTTACCGGCTCAGCAGGTCCGTCCGCGTTGGTGGACGCCGACGAAGGATGGCGACACGTGGCGGCCCAACTTGAGTCGCTGAAGGCTGTTTTAGCGCAGTTATGCACCCTGGTGAAGCCCACGACGAGTTCGGGGAGGCCAAGCGGGGACCATCCGACTGGGGCCTTGCCGACGCTGTCAGCCCTCTCCAACACGCGGCACGAAACGCCATCTTGGGCGTGGCTGGGGAGGAACGGCAGGAAGCCGCCATCTTGCTGCCTCCACCGCGGGGAGCCGCCATTTTGAACACGTTGCGGAGTGACGCCATCTTGTCGCTGCCGCACGAATCACCATCGACGGAAGACGGCGGAGCGGGGACCCGCAGCCATCGTCTAACGACTGTGAAAGAGTTCTCCATCGGCGGAGATTGGAGCGCATTCGCCTGCCGTTTTCAAGCGGCTGTACGATCCGCGAAATGGACGCGGAAGCCTTGGAGGTCCTGCCAACGCTTCTTGACGATGAGTCCGTCAGGTTCTCCGCTCCATCAAGGCCGAAAAGAAGAGGACGCTACAGGGGGTGTTTGAAGAAATGGCGAAGGCGTATGAGCCCCCGGACGATGCTCATCGCAGGTTTGTGCAGCGGCAACGGGCACCTGAAGAATCGCCGGTGGCATTCCAGGGCGCCGTGATGGAGCTAGCTATGGCCGCGTATCCGCAGACGGAGCTCGATTTGTTGGAACCTCTGATATTGGGCAAGATGTTGGAGTTATCCAGGGACTTGGGCATCCCCATGCCGGTGTGCGGACACGATAAGTTAACGTCCCGGGCGGCGGCTAAGTGCCTGGATGCCCAATATAACCTTCGACGGTGGAAACAGGTGTCGGCTTGGACGGGGGGGCCCCACCGTCGAAGGCGGTGCGACAGGGTGGGACCCGAAGAAGGCCATCTATGTTCGAGACGACAGGGGTCCTGAGGAGTTGACAGGGGCATTCACCCAGTGGCCTGCTCGAGGGGGAGCGGGGTTGCGCTCCGGGCCGCCGGCGCGGGAGCGCCAAGACAGAGGGGGTGCTGCACGGCGAACCGACTTGGCGTGTTTCCGCTGCGGCCGTAAGGGCCACTTCGCCAGAGAATGCTGGGCTCGCATTCGGCAGCCACCCCAGCAGGAGGCCTCGGCCACGGACGCGACGCAGGAGGACCATCCACGACAGGCAAGTCGGTACGCATCAGACATCCGGCAAGGCCTGTCATCTCATGCATCACCATCGCCGCGCGGTCCGTGTGCCATTAATAACGGGGGGGGCGGTGATTGACCCGTGTCGCTCGCTGACGCAGTGGCGGAAATTGGCACGGAGGGTGGTGGCGGCCGCTACTGGGTCGTCCACTGTGCCTGGTTCGATTCAAGGGGTCGATGTGCGCATTTTGGTGGATTCAGGTGCGTCCGCGACTATTATCTCCGACGTGATTTTCCATCTCCTAGCCATTCCGCCGGGGCGGGTGCGACCGGTTTATGACTCTTGCATAGCGGCGAACGGGGGAAGTATGGGCATTGTGGGCCAGGTGGACGCCAGCATATCGATTGGGGAGGGGGTGTCGGCTTCAGGGACCGTGTTGATTTCCAGGTCCCTCGCGGTGCCCTGTTTGTTGGGGACCGATTTCCTGGCAAAAATGCCCATTCAAATAAGGGTGGATCACAATTGTATTGATTTACCGGGGGGGTCGGAAAATTTCATTCTTGTCGTCGCCCTGGGGCCAGTCTGCTCTTGTCTGCCAGGTACAGGCGCTGTCCGAGGTATCTGTTGATATTCCACCTGGCTCGCAGGTGCTTATTCCGTTGCGGTATCGGAAACCGGTGCCTGGCATTGAGGGAGCGGCGGGTGTGTTGTTATCGCCGTCCACGGCTATAACGGGTGGCTTGACGATGGTCGGGGCACAGACGATTGTCCGGCCGGGTCAGCCTCCGTTTTTACAAGTGTTGAATGGAAGCGCGGATAATGTTAGTGTACCGGCCGGAACGGTTTTGGCTCACGCTACGACGGCTTTCACGGCCCATGACGACCGGGACTGCCGGGGCCTTGTTTTGGGGGTCTCGGCCTCCACGGCGCAGGATGATCGGTGGATTGCCGAGTTGTGCCGGGAAAACGCGTTTTTGACTGGGGACCAACGGTCCGCGCTTCGCGCGCTGTTGGAAAGGTATTCCGACGTTTTTAGTTCGGACGATTTCGACTTGGGACGCACCTCCTTGCTCTCCCACCATATTGATACGGGGAATGCCGCTCCGATTCGGATGAACCCGCATCGGTTGAGTCCGACGGAGCGGGATCATGTTCACGGCGCAGTCGAGGATATGCTGGCTGCTGACATTATTTCCCCGTCCAACAGTCCGTGGGGCGCGCCGGTGGTCCTTGTGAAGAAAAAGGATGGGAAATTGCGATTTTGTGTCGATTTTCGCAAATTGAATAAAGTGTCGGTAGCAGACGCGTACCCCCTGCCGCGTATGGATGATTCCCTCGATGCCTTGTCTGGGGCAAAGTTTTTTTCTACGCTTGACCTCTCGTCGGGATTCTGGCAGCTTCCCCTGAAACGAGTCCTCGAGGGAAAAGACGGCTTTCCGTACGCCGCAGGGCTTATTTTAGTTTAATTGTCTTCCAATGGGCTTGAATGCTGCCCCCGCCACTTTTCAGCGGCTGATGGAGCTTTTGTTAACGGGTCTGCAGTGGGAGACATGTTTGATATATTTAGATGATGTTATCGTCTTCAGCCGCACGTTTGAGGAACATCTGCAGAGATTGGACGCGGTGTTTGCTAGGATGCGCTCCGCCAATTTGAAATTTAAGCCCAAGAAGTGTCACCCACTGCAACGATCCGTGCGCTATTTGAGCCACATAGTCAGTGCGGACGGGGTGACCACGGACCCAGAGAAGACGGCGTGCGTTCGTAACTGGACGACTCCGGCCACAGTGGGGGACGTACGTCGGTTCGTTGGGTTCGCTTCATATTATCGCAGGTTCGTTCCGAACTTTGCTACGATCGCTAGGCCGATGCACCTCCTTACGGCGAAGGGCCGGAGGTTCAGCTGGGGGCCGACGGAGGAAGCGGCGTTTGAGGGCTTACGCGATCGTTTGGCGACGGCACCGACGTTGGACTATCCAGATTTTGATCGGCCTTTTATTCTGGATACTGACGCTAGTGACACCGGGATTGGGGCCGTTCTGTCACAGTCCAAGGGCGGTGTTGAACGCGTAGTAGCTTACGGTAGCCGCGTGTTGTCTCCGGCAGAGACCCTGCTACTGCGTTACTCGCCGCAAACTATTGGCTATTGTGCATTTTCTCCGCCAATATCGGCCGTATCTATACGGCCGTACGTTTATTGTTCGCACAGGACCATGCGGCTTTGCAATATGCCCTGAGAGTTGATCAACCGTCTGGCCAATTGGCACAATGGTTGGAAACCCTGCAGGAATTTTCGTTCGAAATTCAGTATCGGAAGGGGTCGCGTTACGCGAACGCGGACGCACTCTCCAGATTGCCGCAGGGATCCCCTTGCGCTTGCGCTTCGGGTACGAATAGGTGTACGCGGGTTCCGCAACCCCCTCGGCCTGTTGTGTCAGCTGTCGAGTTGCCCGAGGCTCCCGTATGCCCAGGACCGGCTGATGGGGTTTTGAACCTGCCGCGCTCGGTATGGATTCGCGAGCAATTGCTTGATGAGTCGCTGGAGGCCTTGCGGGGTCGGGCTGCGAAAGGGACGGGGGGACCGCTGTCCGGTGGGACGCCGGGAGCCGCTCTCCGGGATGGGTTGCTGATGTGGAGGGAAGGGTTGCACGATCGCTGGCGTCTGGTGGTTCCGTCGTCGTTACGGTACGAGTCAGAGGTGGGACAAAGTCATTGTTATGCAAGTCCAAGTCGAGTCTGAAGTCATCAAATTCATGACTCGAGTCTGACTCGAGTCCAAGTCACATGACTCGAGTCCACACCTCAGAGGTGGGACAAAGTCATTGCTATGCAAGTCCAAGTCGAGTCTGAAGTCATCAAATTCATGACTCGAGTCTGACTCGAGTCCAAGTCACATGACTCGAGTCCACACCTCAGAGGTGGGACAAAGTCATTGCTATGCAAGTCCAAGTCGAGTCTGAAGTCATCAAATTCATGACTCGAGTCTGACTCGAGTCCAAGTCACATGACTCGAGTCCACACCTCAGAGGTGGGACAAAGTCATTGTTATGCAAGTCCAAGTCGAGTCTGAAGTCATCAAATTCATGACTCGAGTCTGACTCGAGTCCAAGTCACATGACTCGAGTCCACACCTCAGAGGTGGGACAAAGTCATTGTTATGCAAGTCCAAGTCGAGTCTGAAGTCATCAAATTCATGACTCGAGTCTGACTCGAGTCCAAGTCACATGACTCGAGTCCACACCTCAGAGGTGGGACAAAGTCATTGTTATGCAAGTCCAAGTCGAGTCTGAAGTCATCAAATTCATGACTCGAGTCTGACTCGAGTCCAAGTCACATGACTCGAGTCCACACCTCAGAGGTGGGACAAAGTCATTGTTATGCAAGTCCAAGTCGAGTCTGAAGTCATCAAATTCATGACTCGAGTCTGACTCGAGTCCAAGTCACATGACTCGAGTCCACACCTCTGGTACGAGTTGGTTCGGACTCTGCACTCCGAGACTTTGTTACATCTCGGGGTGCAGAAAACCTTGTTAACGTTGCAGCGGGACTACATCTGGCACGGCATGACAACTGATGTCACCGGGCACATTCGGGCGTGTCCCGAATGTGCCCGGCGGAAGCCGCCTAAACACCCATATGTTCCGCCAGTGCAGTCCATACAGGTGTCTCGGATTAACGAGTTGGTGGCGTTGGATATTTTGGGGCCCTTCCCGCCATCCGCTAGGGGGAATAAATTTTTGCTGGTCGGGGTGGAATATCTTTCCCGCTGGCCGATGGCTTGGCCCTTACCCGACCAGTCGGCGGCGTCTATCACGGACGCGTTCCTGTTCGGATATGTAATGGACAAAGGGGCGCCGGAAAGGTTGCTCACGGACCAAGGGCAGAATTTTTCTTCTAAATTGTTGGCTGAGGTGTGTGCTGCACTGGGAACCAAGAAGGTTCGGACGTCTCCCTACCATCCGCAAATGGATGGCATGGTGGAACGGCTTAATCGGACCCTGTCGGCCATGCTATGTCATACGGTTAGCGAAAAGCAGGCTGATTGGGATTTGCATATCCCTGGGGTGCTCTCCGCATACCGGATGACGCCTCATGCGTCGACGGGGTATTCACCTTTTTTTTAAATGTACGGCCGCGAGAATGTGCTGCCGGTGGACGTGCAGCTGGGTACGGGGGCGAAGGGTCCTGTTAAGCCTCTCCCCGAGTACATTCAGGACGCTGTTCATCGCGTGGCAGACGCATGGGAGGTGGCCCGATTGGCTACGGCCAAGACCCAGGCCCGGAACGAACGTTGCGCTCGGATGGGGAATCACCCTGGCGAGTGGGGGACATGGCCTGGCTGCACTGCCCGCAGGTGCGGGCGGGGACCTCCCCTAAGTCGCACAAACCATGGCAGGGGCCGGTTGTGCTTATTGAGGTTCCTAGTCCGCAGTCCGCACGTGTTCGGTTCGGATCGCGGCGCTGGTACGTCCATACGTCTCGGTTGAAACCCTACGTGGCCCCGCAGACGGATGCGTCATCTCCTAATGTTGCCTTGCCGGTGTCTGTTGCATCCGACGCGCCTCTGACTTTGCCTGTTCAACCTGCAAGCGTGCCTGTCGTGCCTTCTACAGACGAACCGGCCGTGACACAGACGGATACAGCGAATCCTGCTCCGGGTGGGACTACCACGGTGACGGGGACACTTGACCCCGCTGCCCCTTTAACCCCGCCACGGACGCGATTGCGGGAGACCCCGGCGACGGGTCTCTCTGGGGAACGGGACTTTGGTATTGACAGGCCTCCAACAGCGGCGGGCGGTTCCGATCCCGCCGCTCTTAAAACCCTGTCGCGGTCGCGGTCTGTGGGGGGGCCGCCTCCCGTTCGGGACGGGCCGGCGACCCGCACGCGTTCCAAGTCTCTTTCCTTTCGTTAATTGTTGTTCTTGTTGTTGTTGTGTTGTTATAATCTCCGTTGTCTGGTGATGCCCGATGGTTGTAATTTGCTCGCATTATTTTGTTCTGTTGCAGCCGGGGACGGCTGAGTTTTTCATCAGGGGGGGGGGGGGGTCATGTAATGCGAGCAAGGAAAGAGGGGGCGGAGTCTGGGTCACGTGAGGAGAAGGAGGAGTCAGGGTCACGTGAGAGAGAGGATTTAGGGGAGGAACCGGAAGGGATCTGGGAGTTGAGAAGGAGTGGAAACAGGAGGAGGCCACGCTGGGCAGTGGCGAGAGGGTGGCGCCATTTGCCACGTGGTGGGAGGCCACGGCACCGTCGGCCAGCGGTGTACGTGGGGCACAGCAGAGCTAGTGGGCTAGAGCTAGTGGAGTAGAGCTAGCGGAGGAGAGCTAGTGGAGTGTGGGAAGCTAGCCGGGCGTGAAGAGCTAGCAGAGTGTGCGGGGCACACAGAGCAGCGGTGTGGCTGCAGACGGAGCAGCGGTGTGGTTGCAGGGTGCACGGTGGAGGAGGTGCGGGTCTGAGCGAGGACGCCGCAGGGGCGAGAGAGACAAGAACCCGAATAAAGGACAACGGAGACCTACACTGTCTGAAGAGTCCTTTATTACACATATACACACGTACACACGCATACACGTACACACGCATACATACACACACATACATACACACACGTACATACGCATACATACACACACGTCCACACGCATACACGTACACACACATACACAACAACAACAACCGCCATTCGCCACTAAGTGGAGGTGACGTCACCACGACGCTTGTGCCAGGCCATGTGCACCTTGAGGCCACGTGAAGTGTCGAACGCCCGCTGGCAGGAGGTCACGGGGCAGACCCAGCAGGTGCCACGGGTCGACTGACTGAGATGACTGGCCGATGCACCACCTGTGCCTCCTACTGCAGCAACTTACACACATAAACACTTATACATGTACATAAAGACAAAGATCCCCTGTATAGCCTGAGCAGACTTTTGGGGCAAGTGCTGTTAGCGAGCACCTATGAAGGCCAGAACGGCACACGAGGGGGTGGGTGGCCAGCACCACGTCCGACCGCCTTTGTCTCCCCAGTGGCGATGTTTACTCCGCGCCACCGCTACACCAGGTATTCATTTGAGGCTGAGTCGACCTTGGGGAGGTCCATGACCGGTTCAGATAAACGTCACCGGCCGTGGTCGTGAGCTGGAATCAAACTGGGGTCACTGGGTTCGTAGCGCAGTGTAGTGCTAACCACTGCGCCACCGCTCCCCTACACATACAGATACACACACTCGCATTTACATATTCACACTTGTACTGTCACCCCGTGTCTCTCTCTTCCCATGTCTCTCTCTCTCCCCGTGTCTCTCTGTCTCTCCCCGTGTCACTCTGTCTGTCTCCCTGTGTCTCTCTCTTCGCATGTCTCTCACCCCATGTTTCTCCCCATGTCTCTCTTCCCATCTCTTTCCCTGTGTGTCTCATAATTTTTCTCTCTCCCCATGTCTCTGTCTCTCCCCGTGTGTCTTTCTCTCCCCATGTCTCTCTCTCCTCCCATCTCTCTCCCTGTGTGTCTTTCTCATTATTTCTCTCTCACACTATGTCTCTCTCTCTCCCCGTGTCTCTCTGTCTCTCCCCGTGTGTCTCTGTCTGTCTCCCCGTCTGTCTCTCTCTCTCCGCATGTCTCTCACCCCATGTTTCTCCCCATGTCTCTCCTCCCATCTCTCTCCCTGTGTGTCTCATCATTTCTCTCTCTCCCCATGTCTCTCTCTCTCTCCCCGTGTCTCTCTGTCTGTCTCCCCATGTCTCTCTGTCTGTCTCCCCGTGTCTCTGTCTGTCTCCCCGTGTGTCTCTCTCCCCCCGTGTCTCTCCCCCCCGCGTGTCTCTGTCTCTCTCTCCCCGTGTCTCACCCCCTCACCCCCCGCGTGTCTCTGTCTCTCCGTGTGTAGAACCCGCGTCTGCTGGACGATGTGAGTTTCCACCCGTGCGTGCGCTTCAAGCGCTGGGAGTCTGAGCGCGTTCTCTCCTTCATCCCTCCCGACGGGAACTTCCGGCTCATCTCCTATCACGTCTCCTCGCAGAGGTGACACAGAGATACACACAGAGAGACACGCGGACACGGAGAGACACACGGAGACACACACGGAGAGACACGCGGAGAGACACACAGAGAGACACATGGAGAGACACACGGAGAGACATACGGAGACACACACGGAGAGACACACGGAGAGACACATGGAGACGCACGGAGAGACACACGGAGAGACATACGGAGACACACACGGAGAGACACACGGAGAGACACATGGAGACGCACGGAGAGACACACGGAGAGACACACGGAGACACACACGGAGAGACGCACGGAGAGACACACGGAGACACGGAGAGACGCACGGAGAGACGCACGGAGAGACGCACGGAGAGACACACGGAGAGACACACGGAGACACGGAGAGACGCACGGAGAGACACACGGAGACGCACACGGAGAGACGCACGGAGAGACGCACGGAGAGGCGCACGGAGAGGCACACGGAGAGGCACACAGACATACGCAGAGAGACACGCGGACACAGAGAGACACACGGAGAGACACACAGACATACGCAGAGAGACACGCGGACACAGAGAGACACACGGAGAGACACACAGAGACATACGCGGAGAGACACACGGAGAGACACACGGAGAGACACACGGAGACACACACGGAGACACACACGGAGAGACACACGGAGACACACGGAGAGACACACAGAGACACAGAGACATACGCAGAGAGACACATGGACACACAGAAACACACACAGAGACACACACAGAGACACACACAGAGACACACACGGAGACAGAGAGACACACGAAGACACATCCATCCCGGCGTGCGTGTGTCTCTGTCTTTCTCCCGCAGCCTGGTGTCCGTGCCCGTGTGCGTGCGCCACTCGGTGTCGTTCCGTGAGGGCGGTGGCGGCGGCGGGCGTCTGGAGCTGACGCTGGGGCCTCGGCACAGCGGCGGGAAGACGCTGGAGGCGGTCGTCGTCACGGCGACGCTGCCGCCCCCCGTGCTTGCCGTGGCGCTCACGGCAACGCAGGGGACCCACGCCTTCGACCCCGTCTCCAAGGTGACGGGGGGGGGGAGAGACGGGGGGGGGGTAGGGGAGGTACAAGGAGTGAGGGAGATAGGGGGGGATATGGGGAGAGGGAGGAGAGAGGGAGACGGGGGGGGGGGGTATGGGGAGAGAGGAGGTACAAGGAGAGAGGGAGGAGAGAGGGAGACGTGGGGGGGGGTATGGGGAGAGGGAGGAGAGAGAGTCAAGGGTGACACATCTTCTTGGTTTTTTCAGGTAAAGTCACGTAGCAGGGAAATAATAAAGTAATAAAAATAAAACATAATAAAATACAATTTTCACGACGTTTCGGCCACAACGCAAGCAGCCGTCCTCAGGTGAAGAACAGGTCTGTCGGGAAGACAGCGTCTGAATAAAACACCCCAGGCTTGGGTTTTTTACCATCGGGTTTAATTGTATTTTCATATTAAACCCGATCATCTGAGATTGGGAGAAATCCGGTTTAATTGGTTCTAATTGCAGAACCACACTTCGCCAACTTCTCAACGATGGGCTTCGTCCATTCCAAGCTTAAGGAACTAACTGGCGCCCACGATTGTGGAGGAGAAACTCGTGTTCATCAAGACCAACCTGCCCGCCGCATTCTACGACTACCCCGTGCCCGATGCCCCCCCCGAGTACGATGATAGCAGCACCGACGAGGAAGCAGCCTAAGCCTGCCTATCAGTTTCGTATTCATGAAACCAGGTTTTAATCCCCCCGAAATCTGGTTTAATTGTATTAAAGAAAAAAACCGATGCCTGTCGCTGGAAAAATCGGGTTTTTTCCACCCATGAGAGAGAGGGACAGAGGGGAGGTACGGGGGTAGAGGGAGAGAGATGTTTTCAGCGTGTTTTAATCATGCCTGTACTACATTTACGTGAAACTGCCCTTGCGGTTGTCTGTTTAATCGACACATCTCAACATGATAAATTGCAAGCCGACAATGCATTACACATCCCACAAATGAACCGAGAAAAGCAGAATTTAATTCTGAACAAGATCTTCAGACAAACATGTCAACACAACCGACATATCCTTCACATTCACGCATTGCATAGCCATGAAAAGTAGCTGCTGCTGCAGTTGACACAGCCATCCAATGAGACGTCATGGATACAACTAGTGTCCGAAGATGCAACAGATTCTAGAGTAGCATGCAGTTTAGGGGACAGGGATACAGAGAGACAAACGGATAGACACAGGGAGGGAGACACGGTCCATGCGTTGCCATCGGACGTGGGGTGATGCAGAGGTGGAACGAGGAGGACATGGAGACAGCTCATTCACGTGGTCTGTGGTGTTAAAGTGTCTGTCCCTCCTCCTAACCTCCCATGCCTTCCCTCCTCCCTCTCTTCTCTTTTTTTACGATCAGTGAAAACAAGAAGATGCTCGGTGTAGTCGGCACTTTGCTTCGTTCATCATTTCGTAATTTTTTTTTTACATTTTTAAACTTTGCTTTATGTAAACCCCCACCTCTCGCTCACTCTCTCGCTCACTCTCTCGCTCGCTCTCTCACTCTCTCGCTCACTCTCTCTCTCGCTCACTCTCTCGCTCGCTCTCTCGCCCGCTCTCTCACTCTCTCGCTCACTCGCTCACTCTCTCTCGCTCTCTCTCGCTCTCTCTCGTTCTGCACGCAGCCCTTCTCGCAGTCCGACGGCCTCCGACGCTCCCTCCCCTCCTCAACATGTCTCTGTCATCCTCCTATCTCCCTCCTCCTCTATCCCCCTCCCCGTGTCTCCCTCCTCCCCTCTCCCTCCTCCCTCTCTTCACTCCCTCCCCTCCTCTCCGTGTCTCTCTCCTCCTCCCCCTCCCCGTGTCTCCCTCCACCTCCCCGTGTCTCCCTCCTCCTCTCTCCCTCCTCCCCGTGTCCCTCCTTATTCCCCCTACCTCCCCCCTGTCCTCCCTCTACCCACCCCCTTGCGGTGTCCATGGGTCCACCCTCCCCCGTGGTCGTGCTCCAGGTCCTGACGTGGGACATTGGGAAGATTAATCCCCAGAAGCTGCCGACCATCAAGGGCTCCCTGACACTGCAGTCCGGAGCACCGAAGCCCGAGGAGAATCCCGTCATCAACGTCCACTTCAAGATCCAGCAGTTCGCCATTTCAGGTACGCGGGGAGCAGGATGGGGAGAATCTGAGGACCCACGGAGACCCGTGGAGAGAGGCCTGATGACCACAGTCCCGTCGGTGAGCTCCTCCGGCAGGCAAGGCTGCGTTGGCTGTGTCGCGTAGCCCGCATGCCCAGCCACTGCTTGCCCAATCAGCTTCTAAACTTAATTTGGAGCTTTCGTGACTGCAGGAATTACTCTTTGGTTCATTCGGTAAAGTGACGTATAACGATAAAATAATAAATTAAATACTAGCATACGACGTTTCGATTGCAACACAAGCAATCATCATCAGGTATAAATGAAATAGAAACACAAATCTAGTAATACTTAAAAATGTAATGTGATACAACAGAGAGTCGGATAACGTAACAGTCAACACCCTACCTGGTTGATTACGTTCTTCCTGAGAATGCTAAATTTGAGAGAGAGATAAAACACAGAACCTATATGTCTCTGGTTCTGTGTTTTATCTCTCTCTCAAATTTAGCATTCTCAGGAAGAACGTAATCAACCAGGTTTCTATTTCACTTATACCTGATGATGATTGCTTGTGTTGCAATCGAAACGTCGTATGCTAGTATTTAATTTAATATTTTATCGTTATACGTGACTTTACCGAAAGAACCAAAGAGCATTCAGCTTCTGTTTGGCCGGATAGAGGGGGTTAAACGGGCATGGCAGGAACTAGGGGAGAGATGGAGTGATGCGGTACGGGAGGATGTGGAGCTGAGTGGACTTGCCGATGACCGGTACCAGCGCTGTCAAGATCGGCCTCAGTGGAGTAGGAGGCTCGTGAAGGACGCTGCTACTGGGCAGTTGGAGGCAGTCGCCCTCCAACAACAACGGAGGGCGGAGGAGCGACACTCACAACAACGAGCGGAGTTCTGGGTGGCTAAAACACAGCGAGTTGGCACAGTAAGGGGCACAGGTGGTGCATCAGCCACTCGTCTCAGTCGACCCTTGGCATCTGGGTCTGCCCCGTGACCTCCTGCCAGCGGGCGTTTGACACTGCATGTGACCTCAACGTGCACATAGCCGGGTGGCTAAAACACAGCGAGGTGGCACAGTAGGGGGCACAGGAAGTGGTGGTGGTGCATCTCCCGGTCCTCTCTCAGTAAGGCAACCTATGGCACCAGCTGGGTCTGTCCTGTAACCTGTCAGCGGAAAGCCTCGCACACTCCAAGTGACCGCCTCAAAGTGCACCTAGCCTGGCACAAGCGCCGTGGTGGTGACGTCACCGCCGCATAGTGGTGACTGGCAGCTGCTGCTGCTGTTGTTGTTGTTGCCGCCGCAGGGTTGAAAGTGAACCGTCTGGACCTCTATGGGGAGAAGTACAAGCCATTCAAAGGGGTGAAATATCTCACCAAGGCTGGGCGCTTCCAAGTCCGCACCTAGACACACAGAGAGACACGGGCAGACACACACACTCCATGGGACGTAGATACGCACAGGAACACAGGGACGCAAAGACGTGGACAGGGATACGGGAGATGGAACACACACGGGGGACCTAAAGGTGGACACGGAAACATACGGAGAGACGCAGTAAGACACGGGGACAGAGAGGCTCATGGTAACATGGCGAAACAGGGAGACCGCTCAGAGGAATACGAGTGCAGAGATACACGGGGATGAACGGAGACTTGGGAAGACATGGGGATACAGAGACTCACTTGGAGACACACAGACACATGGATACACACGGGGAACAATGTATACACAGGGGGACACTGAAAAACATTGGAACATGCTGAGACACACGGAGACACACTAGGTCACACGGAGACACCATACGGGGTCACGTGGTGACACACTGGGTCACGTGCACTGGGTCACATGGATACACACTGGGTCACGTGGAGACACATTGGGGTCAAGTTGAGACATGGGGTCACAGAGAAACACGTGGAGACACGGGGACCAATGGAGAGTTGGCTGAGGTGCAGTGTTTGTGTGAATAAATGTGCAATGTGTGAAGTAAAGATCGCTCGGCTTCCACACACTCGTGCGTGCGTGTGTGCGTTCGTGCGCGCGTACACGTGTGTGTGGGGAGCGGTTAGCGCTACGCTGCGCTATGAACCCGGCCACTCGAGTTCGATTCCCGCTCGCGGCCACCAACATCGGCGACGATTATCTGAGCCGGTAACAGGCCTCCCCTAGGTCGACTCGGCCTCAAACGAGTATCTGGTGATGCGGTGTGTAGTTAAACATTGCCACTGGGGGAGAGACAAAGGTCGCAACCGGGTACCCAATACTTGTACCTAGGGGTCAGCACGGTTTGGCTCAAACCACCAAACCGCGGTTTGAACCGAACCAAATCGGTTTGGTTTGGCTCTGTTTGAACTGGTTCGGTTTGGTTTGGGGCTACGAAACCCGACTCGGTTTGGCTCGGACAGGGTGGAACCGGCTCAAACTAGTTTGGTTGGTTGTAAAGGCCGAGTACAGCAATATCAAGGACATGATGACGGACATTCTCAACCAGCTGCTACCCAGCGTTGACGACGGACGCGGCGCCGAAGGCGGCGCCGCGTGGCGGCATTAACATCCTCTTTGACATGGTCTACGCGCCCAACGCTCACGACGGCGCCGCCTCCGAGGTCGACCGCTTCCTGCTTGAGCCGACTCAGGACCTGAGCATGGACGTCGTCGAGTGGTGGAAGCTGTACGGCGGCAAGTACCCGCGCCTGCGACGCGTGGCCCTCGACTATTTGCCTATCCCGGCGTCGTCCGTGCCCTCCGAGAGAGCAAACTCGGCCGCCAAGCGCTCCTTTCTCGACCGACCAAACCTGCACAAGTGCACGTTCAAGGCCGAGATGTGTGTGCGCTCGTGGGCGCGGATGTTGCCTAGTGTTGGGGTTTCACTGCCATTGAACTACCACACTGCGTTCAAGGACATTGGGCGTGCCAAGCTTGAGGAGATGGCTGTGGACGACATCGTCGTCCAGTACTTGCTAGTGAATCTCAATATGAAGAAAGCCTGCGTAGAAATTAGCGATTAATACACTTGATATTTGTATTGAATGCGAATATTGTTTGCCGCGCATCTTTTCGGTTCAAGCCAACTCAAGAGGTTTGGTTTAGCTTAGTTTGGTTTGGTTTTGGTTTGGTTTGGTTCAGTCGTCGCTGGTTTGGTTTGGTTTGCTCAATTTGAAACCAGTTTGAGTCGGTTCAAACCGTGCCGACCCCTAGCCGTACCATACCCGATGCCCGGCTACCCGTACCTGACCGGGTACGGGTACGGGTAGGCCGTGAGTCACTAGTGAGTCACCGTTTGTCACTCATTTCCCAACGTCTTGTCTCTTCTCACAATTCAAGTTCCTAGAATCAACCCACCCGCACCTGCAACATGGCTTCATCCCAGAGGTCGCAATCAGGTACCCGATACCCGTACTCTACACGATACCCGGCCGGGTACGGCCGGGTACGGGTACCCGTTTGCGACCCTTGTGCGGCCGGGTACGGGTAAGGAATCAAAACCCGTTTGCAACCTCTGGGGAGAGACAAAGGCGACCGGGCGTGGTGCTGGCCACCCACCCCCTCTGTGTGTGCCACAGTGCCGGTAGCCTTCATAGGCACTGCTACTCGCTACTCACAGCACTTGCCCCTACAGTCTGTTAAGGCTAAATGGGGGATCTTTATATGTATGTGTGTGTGTATACATGTATAAGTGTGTGTCTTTGTATATGTGTGTACATCTATTCCCTCGTGCGCCCAGCCAGCCTTACTAGGCGCTCGCTGACAGCATGTTTAAGATGACACAGTACTTGCATTCACGTTGCTAACGGCGTTAGACAAAACCGCCCGTCGGATCTCGTATATGTGACGAGTGGCAGCACCGATGATGGCTACCGGCACCGTGGCATACGAGGTGGGTTGGTGGCCGGCACCATGCCCGACCGCCTTTGTCTCTCCCAGTGGCGATGTTTGCTACACCACCACCGCTACACCAGTTACTCATTTGAGGCTGAGTCGACCTAGGGAAGGCCCGGGACCGGTTCAGATAATTGCTATTACTGGGTGTTGGTGGCCGTGAGCGGGAATCAAAACTCGGGTCGTCGGGTTCGTAGCGCAGCATTAACCGCTACACCACCACTGCCTTTACGCATACAATACACACGGTACAGTACACACGGTACAGTACATACAGTGCACAGTACAGTAGTTCCACGTTTGACCACATGGCCGAACGAGTGAACCCAAACCGTGTACTGTCTTGAATTTTGGGTAGAAATAGGCTAGCCGCGCACACAGTGATACCGCGGTATACGAAGGAGATGCGTTCCTGGAGCTTGTTCGTATATTGAAACGTCGTATAGTGAATAACTTACAACATTGGTGCCATGAGGTTGCGTTCCCAGCCTTCGTGACTTACCATTTCACACGATGAACACTTTACAACTTACACTTCGTATTGTCAACGAAGGCAATTTCTTTTGAACGTGATATAATTTTATACTATACAGTATTAAAAAAGAAACTGACTTAAAGCACAGTGAAGACATGCAAAGCTGTGAACCCCTTATCAGTGCCCTACCTTACTGTAGACCAATTCAGAACTTATTGGTCATCCCGTGCCCCTTATACATCTCAACGTTCACCCAATACACCACGCTGTACACTACACTATATACTACACCACGCTGTACACTACACTATACACTACACTACACCACTATACACTGCACTATACACTTATACACCACCACTATACACCACCACTATACACCACGCTGTACACTACACTATATACTACACTACACTATACACTGCACTATACACTTATACACCACGCTGTACACTACACTATACACTACACCACTATACACCACCACTATACACGACATCATACTGGTAGGAACCTCCTGATTACACCAGCCCACAGGGGATTATTGCGTCCACCGTGCAGGGAGGGGCTGGGTGGGGTGGGGAGGGGCTGGGTGGGGTGGGGAGGGGCTGGGTGGGGTGGGGAGGGGCTGGGTGGGGAGGGGCTGGGTGGGTGGGGAGGGGAGGGTGGGGAGGGGCTGGGTGGGGTGGGGAGGGGCTGGGTGGGGAGGGGAGGGTGGGGAGGGGCTGGGTGGGGAGGGACAGGCTGGGTGGGGAGGGGCTGGGTGGGGAGGGGCTAGGTGGGGAGGGAGGGGCTGGGTGGGGAGGGAGGGGCTGGGTGGGGTGGGGCTGGGTGGGGAGGGTGAGGCTGGGTAGGGGGTGGGAGGGGTGGGGTGGGGCTGGGTAGGGAGGGGCTGGTCACCCCGTGGTGCCCTTATAAAACTCAACGTTTAACCTACTCACGCCGGCTTGTGCCCTCCCTCACAGTCGGGCATATTTGTGGAATACACCATGCCGCCATTGACCCTGGCCATTGACCGAGCAACCCAACGTTCCTAACAGCTCCCTCCGCAGGATTGTGTTACACTACTATACACTACACCCCTATACACTACACTATATACTACTGCATACCTGTTAACCCATTATCAGTGCCCTACCTTACTACAGATCAATTCAGAACTTATTGGTCACCCCATGCGCCTTATAAATCTCAACGTTCATCCTGCAAAGTCCCATCACAAGGGAAAAACACAAAGACACGACAAAAATGTTTTGCTCGCCTTGAAACGTAAAAATTTAGACAATACAGTAGATCTATGATTTTACAAATATTTACGTATTAATTTCAGTGTTTACACCATTGGAACCTCATTTGCCAGTAAAAAATGATAATTGTTTTTTTACCCTTCTGGCAACAAAACTGACACCTTTTTTACAAGGAGTCATGTTTGCATAGACCACAATACCGGCAGTCAATGCAAACAAAAAACATAAGTCTGATAATGTATGCACTGTCCTTGAAGTTGATTGGTCCACACCCGAGACAGCTTTCAACTTCAAGGACAGTGCATATCATTATCAGAGTTGTGTTTTTTGTTTGCATTATGACTGCAGGTATTGTGGTCTATGCAAACATGACTCCTTGTAAAAAAAGGTGTCAGTTTTGTTGCCAGATAGAAGGGTAAAAAAACAATTATCAATTTCAGTGTTATTTGGTTCTTTCGGTAAAGTCACGTAGAAAACAAGAAATCCATTCATTGTTTTACTTTATCAGCTTTCCGTGTAAAATATTGGAGAAATAAATCCAATGTTACGTTAAACCGAAACGTGGTCTATCGAATGCCGTGTACACACACCGAGCCTCTCCCGAGGATCGCCACCGTGTCGTGGTGGAGGTGGTTTGCGTTGTTCCATTTGTAGAGAAGTTCCGACGGACGTACTCGAAGACGGAGGTAAGTTAAGGGCTTTCACCAGGGTTTATTAAAGCTGTTACAATATTACACAGCAGAGTACACAACTCCCAGGGGCTAGGGGTCCTACTTTGAGTCCGGGTCCCTGCCGGCTAGCTCCGGTCTCTCTCTCTCTCTCTCGTGTCGGATCGTGGATTCTGCCGACTCCACCGACCGGAGAGAGAAGCACCTCTACGGCTACCACCGGCTTCTCCCCAGACTCACTATTCGATCCCTCTCTCTACCACTGGTTCCCTCTTCACCCTTCGTACTCTACCAGTTCCCACAGTGACCCCGCTTATGTCACGAGGTATCCCTTAAGTACCCTAGGAGACGTGACGTCATCGCACTGAACGGCACACCTGACGACACGTCCCCATTTTACTCCTCTACACATTGATCCCGAGAGCGAAGCCGCCCTTCCCGCTCACCTCCGCTTAGCACGGACGGCTACGTACGGTGCGAAAGAAGTTCAACATACATGTGAAAGAAAACTCTGGCCTTTTGTCACCAAGGTAATGTCTTTATGTTACGGCACGGGTTCACACCTTCATCCTCGCTTGTCACCCTCGACGCCCCCCAACCCTACCACCCGCTCCCTCTTTTAACCTCTTCCTGACGTCGTCACCTCTCACCCTCACCTGGCCGAACCGTCACACTTGACGCTCACCCACGCATCCATGCACTCGCCCACCCACTCGCTCAC